CTTTTTGTTAGCAGCCCAATGCTTAATCCACTGTACTACCAGGGCTTCTCAGTATGGTGAGGGTTACAATGCTCCCATGCCTGGGACAAGGCAGCTGATTCCCGACTTCCTTTCCTTTGATTTTATCTGCCTCATTTCTCTGGACTTCAGAATCAAGTGCTCTCATACAGTTGACTCAACAAACGTGTAACAACACCCCCTTGTCTGTCATTATGCCTTACTGTGGTGATGTGTGTTGCTGTGATGTTGGAAGCTAGGTTACTTGTATTGCAAATACCAGCAGGGTTACCCATGGTGAACAGGTTTTCACAGCTTCCAGTCTAAGTCGGACTAGAAGAAAGAAACATACTTCCAAAAACTACAAAAAACCCTACGGATCCCAACAGAACATTGTCCAACAGAATACTGGGAGATGCGCTCCCTAGGCTGGAAATTCACTAAGACCTACTGCCATTGAGTCGATTCCCACTCATAGAGACCTATAAGGGTTTCTGAGATTGTCAGTCTTTATGGGAGTAGACAGCCTCATATGTCTCCCTTCGAATGGCTAGTGGGTTTGAACCATCAACCTTGCAGTTAGCACAAATGCTACACCCAGGGTACCACCATGGTTCCTTAGAAGGAACTCAAACAGTGACAGCAACGATGGGCACAATCATGCCAGCCTCCCATTGCTTTTCTGTGCTTAGGGGGTTTGTAGTTTCCCTTTTCTACCATAGACCACCAAGATAACCAGGGAGTTAACCAGGGTCTTTTCTACCATAGACCACCAGGATAACCAGGGAGTTAACCAGGGTCTTTTCTACCATAGACCACCAGGATAACCAGGGTCTAAACGACCCCGTGGTACCTGCTGGAGCTTACAGCACCCACCTGATTCTTGGTTCCCTGAAAGAGCTTCCAGCCGTCACCCCAACGGAATCCACATACCTGATTTTGTAGGAACCCCAAGGCCCATCAATCCCAGTGGCCCCCACAACCACACCAGGCCACCAATGTCAATATGACAACCCTCCATTTTCCTCCATCCCAGATTCCAGCATGATAGGACAGCTGGCAGGTCTGGGGGACAGGTTCTGTGACATGAGGTATGGATGCTTCTAGGATGGCTGCACCTATTGTCAGCATATTGCTTGGTGTGGACTGAATTGAATCCCAACCTCTGTATCTGTGGATGTAAACCCCCAAGGTAATAGATCTTCTTTGTTATGCTAATGAGGCCAACTCAGTGTAGGGCAGGTTCTAATCCCATTGCTCCAGAGTGATAAGAGGCAGCAGAGGTCACAGACTGCTAGATCAAAAAGCAAATCTGTATTGGGAAAAAGACACCCAGAACACTCCTTAGAAGCCAGGATGGCAAGACTTTGTCTCACATACTTTGGACATGCTATCAGGTGGGATCAGGCCCTGGAGAAGGACATCATGCTTGGTAAAGTAAAGGGTCGGTGAAAAAGAGGAAGACTTTCAATGACACAGTGGCTGCAATGATGGGCTCAAGCACAGCAATGATTGTGAGGATGGCACAGGATGGGGCAGTGTTTTGTTCTGTTTTACACAGAGTTGCATGAGTTGGAACAAACCAGACAGCACCACCACCACACCAAGAAATACAAAGAAGCAAGTTTAAATGGGGGAAGACAAATGCCATATGGAGATCACCAATGAACCAAGGAATGCCGAGGCGAGAGAAGCTGAGACAAGGGCCTTACCCAAGATCTGACACACACACACACACACACACACACACACAGATGTACGCTAGAGCTGGTGCCCTGAATTCGGACTTTTAGCTTCCTGAACTGAAAAGTACATGTTTGTTCTTTAAGGTTCACCCACTGTGGTGTTTCTATTATAACACTAGGAGACTAAGACACCCATGGCACCTCCTATCAGTCAGCTCCCAGGCTAAACCCTCAGGACCTGGTACAACTTTGAGAACCCGGCCCCCAATGTCATTCCTGACCTCATCCCCAGAGACCCCACTGTTACATAGTGCTCCTCTCTGGTTGATGCTATGGATTGCTTTTACATGTTTCTGTAACTCCCACCAAAAGGTGGGATGTGACTATATAAATGAGGTGCTTGTGGCCTACCAAGGGGATTGGACAGTTTGCTAATAGTATAAGTAAGGTGCAAGACACCATTATAAGGTGGGATCATGCAGATAAGGTATATGGAACCCTAACTAGGGGATTTTGTCATCCCACAGGACTTAAAACGAGTTATCCTAAAGGTGGAGAAGGGGGACTACCACTAAGAAGGACAAAAAGAAGTAGAGCACACTGTCTACACCCAGGATCCCTGTGCTGACCTAGAAGAGGGAGAGAGAACCTCCTAGATTCGAGAGACAGGGAGAATTGTAACACCAGATGACACAAGGCAATGCGAATGGTGGCAGAGAAATATCATCAGCAGAACCAGGAGACCAGCATGACACGACACACAAGATGCTCCAGGACCCAGGGAGCAAGGCGCTTACGGTGGGCAGGTATGCAGATGCATGAAGTGAGAGGGCTAAGCACCTCCAGGCACTTATTAGTGGCATTTAAGAGTTCTAGTGCATAGTGGGATATGCATTGGGCTGCTGATCACCAGTCGTTCAGTGGGAAAACAAGGCTTTCTGCTCCCGTAAAATTTTACAGCCGCAGAAATCCTATCTAGGGTTGCTAGGAGTCCAGGGCACACAACAGCAGTAAGAGCTTTGTAACATTTCTCTCAGCAAGGCAGAGGCCAGGTTGACTCAACATACTCAAGAGGTCAAGGGCCAGGGAGAGTGGAGGTATGTTTGACCTCTACCTCATAGCAACTAGCCTTGGGCTGTTGATCTTCACTTTCCTTTCCCCTGCTGAAATCAGGAGAGGTCAGATACCCACACCAAACTATTTTCACACCTGTCTGCTCACTTACACTGTGCATAGCCCCAGCCTGCAGCCACCACTCTCCTCCTCCCCCTGATCACTAGGAATGTCCTTGTGACACATTCCTGATGGGCATCCTTCCCCATCTCAAATAAAATCAATGTCTCCCCATCTTCTTTAGCTCACCCTGCTTCCCTAGACCTGGTGGTGGCCTCCCGGGTCCCTCCTCTGCTCACACCCCCAATCCCAATGGTCCCAAGCCTTGCCGACTCAACCCCTGATGTGTCCCTTATTCTTCCACCCTCCTCCCACCACCCCACATCAGGCCTGGCTCCCTCCAAAGCTGGGAGGCACTGCAGCCCCTACCTGAGACCCCACACTTGGCAGGAAGAGTCTCTGCAGGGCTGCAGTGTGATATCTAACATTCCAGTGCTAATTGAGAGCCCTGCCCAGTAGCCCTGTTGATCATCTCTCCCCCAGGGTCACCCTCATGCTCCAACAGAGCCACACTGCCTCCCTGCTGTGCCCTAGTTTTCCAAAGCCATATCCAGTGCCCAGGGTTATGGGAAGTGAGTATTCCCTCCCTACCAGAAACTGGGATACTCTGACCCAAAGCAATGTTCTGCTCTCCACTGCTGCCTTGCAATCCCTCTTCTGTCCCCATCATCAGCCCTCTCTATCCCTCCCTGGGTCACAGAGGGGAGGGAAGGCCAGGTGAACAGCTGCTGTAAAAGGGAAGTTGTGGGGAGACAGTTGCGACCTGAGTATCAAGTGGCACCTGTAGCATCATGGATGTGTGTAGGGGCATGATGAAGGCACCACTCCAGAACCCCAGGGGAACTCGGGCCTTTTCCCCTCACTTGGCTCAAGGCCCCCATTCTCACCACACTACAAGCCTGGGTGGTAGCCTCATCTAGACACCAGACAGGTAGTGGGACTCAAAATCACATACCATTCAGTCATTCACACCCCAGTTCCATGGAGACTTAGGGGAGGGCCTGGCATCTTCACTTCATCTTTGCAAGATTTCCCTAAGTCTTCTGAGACGCTCCCCCACAGCACCTGCTGCCTCAGGGGCCTCTATAAAGCAGTTTAGTTTACTAGGGTTAACTTGTTGGTGCAGGGGGTACAGATCCCACTCCAACATTTGCTCAAAGATATGGTCTACAAATATGAGTCTTAGTAACCTCAAGGTCATGCTCTCTTCAGTCTACACTGTGAGACATGGCTGGCCCTGGCTGTTCTGGCCTGCTAGGTCCACTGGATGTTTCCACAGAAACGAGACAGAGCAAGCAGCACCAACCCCCAAAGAGAAGCCAAGAAACGCAACCTGCGAAAGGAGAGAACAGGCAGCAAGAGAGGTGCAGGGAACCAGGGGGCACCGGAGAGAGAGGCGATAGGGTGGCAGCTGGGCCATGGAGCAGAGCCGGAGGGGCCGCGGGAAAGGAGGGCCTTGCAGGGGGGCTACTGTTCTTGGCAGAGAGAAGAGAGGCCTCTGGAAGTCAGAGAGAGACACAAAGACAGTAGACACATACTGGTCAGTGCCCAGGGACACTCAGGACAGGGTGCAGGGCCCAGGATTCAGGGCCCCTGCACTCCCACCACCCAGACACCAGCCCCTTCCCAGGAGATGTGTGAGGTACCTGGGCAGGGAGCCAGCCCTGGGCCCTTGCCATTTGCCTGGGCGGTTCAATTCATCTCCAATGGTCATAGGGCACAGAATGGATACACATGTGGAGGATGTTAGGAACAGGTGCTGAGGCTCCCCATAACCTGTCACCTACAACTATTCACCCCTCCTGAAAATTGTCCATGTTCTAGGGAATATAGGGGCCACCACGGATCCCCACCCCACAGTCCAGGCCCCTGGGGTATGAGGGAAGAGGTCACAGGAAGGCGTCTGTCTGTCCCACCCATGGGCAGGGACCAAAGCCATCTTGTCCCTGTGCTTGTGTAATGTACAGGGGAGAAGTGAGAAAAGGGCTGGACCTACAAAGGGTACAGAGAAGCCCTGGTTTGTTGGGGTGGCAGCGATCACCTAGTGAGCTCCAGAGGGAAAAGCGACAGAAAGGCCTGGCCACTCTGGGTCTTGCCCCCGCGTGCTTCCAGCCCTCTCCCGCTGCCAGCGGCCCCAGCTCTGACCTCGGGTCTCAGACACACTGGCCACGGGCAGAGGCAAGACCGCGGGGTCCGCGGGCTCACTGGCCAGTCTCTGCCCGGCACACATGGATTTGAGCATCTGGAAGACAGCAAGCGGGGCCACGTTCAGCTTCAGCAGGTCGACCAAGATCCTGGCGAGAACAAAAGCGGACGCGGTTGAGTCCCCTCTCCCAGAGCCAGGCCTGCTGGGTGCGGCCGCAGGACCTCCTCCCGCCAGTAAGGGAGGACGCTCCTTCAGGCCTTGCACGAAGTCTATATCCCCCTCTACCTTCACTCACTTGAACACGTCGGGGTCGATGGCGCCGCCCGCCGCCTGCGCCAGCTCGTACAGCTCCATCTCCTCGGCGCTCAACACCTTCTTCCGCCGCAGCGCCAGCTTCTGCAGGGCCACCTCCAGGCCAGCCGGCCCTCCCGGCCCCGACACCGACACCGACCCCGACGCGGCGCCCGGCGCCGCCATTAGCAAACCACAGACGACGTGTGTCCGGGCCGCCAGTTCCCGTGCTCCGCCGCCACAGCGCCCCCACCTGGCCGAGGCCGCGGCCGAATTAGCCATCTCTGCTCCTCCAACCGCTCCCCCGACACTGAGGGGTGCTAACTGCAAGGCAGGCGCGGTTCAAACCCACGGGTAAAGATTTACTGCTGAGAAGCTGAGGCCCAAGAACAACATGGACAAAAATCCGGTCTTTGGGCCCTCCTTGGACTTGCCGGCCATGGACCCTGAGGGCCCAGGAACTGACCCCCTCATGGTCCCAGATTCATGGCTTTGGCGAGCTCACTGTTTGGCCACCTCTGTGCAATTTTCTTTAATTGTACTTTTCTGCATTCTGTACTTGTCCTTTATGCTCTTAACTCCGGTAATTGTAGCTTCTGGGAAAGTGATTGTTTTCAGTAACAATACGCACAACGTTTTGATCAATGGCTCTCATGTAAATGTCACTGCCCCAGTAACAAGAGTTGTGCGTGAGGCTATGAAAAATAAAAGTACAGAAAAAACAGGATGTAGCAATGCAGAGAATATGTAACAATTGTTTTCTAACCAATTACTCAGTTATGTTTAATATTAAACAGATACATGAGCTGTTAATGTCTATGTACAATAATAACACTGAAACTGGTAGCTACCCCCTGAAGACACCCCTGTGTATGTCTGTTATGCTCTTGATGTTTTTCATGGGAATCTTGCTGTATGTGATAATTTTATGCACCCCCCAAACCGCCTCCGGGTATAATCAACTTAATCCAGATGCTCCTCTTCCCCCCGAAGGTATATTGGGAATATAATAGCAATGAACATTGTCATATCTAGATACAGAAACCTGAACGGGGTTAAAAGAATGTAAAAGTGAGACTGCACCTTCTTAGAAAAGTCAAAACCTGTTTTTCACCTTCCATGAAATTGTAGAAGCAAGGAGAAAAGAATTATTAGTTTGATAATTGAAGCCAGATATCTGAAATCTTGTTCATTAACAAAAGCATGAATTTTCTGCCTGCAAAAGACACAGAAGCAGTTTAAGTTTCTTTAGAAAGTATAACTTAGTCTTTAGTAAAAATTCTAAAGCCTTTCAAACCTTCACTCACTTGTGATTAAGTGTTGAAAAAATGTTAAACACCTTTGAGAAACCTCAAGTTGCTGCCCTAGGTTACACAGACCTAGAAGTTAATATATAATCTATAATTGCGTGCTTAAACTTTTTTACAGAAATAAGAATTTTAGGTTATTAGGTAAATCATGATGTATGCAAAAATACGTTAAGGATAAATCTGTGAATCATCATGTTCTGTATCACTTGAGTAATCTCGTGTCCTGTTTTAAATGAATAATTACATTTTTGTCATTATTGTCTTTTGTGTCAATTTCCTTCTTCTGACAATAAAAGACTGGGTTTCAGCTAGCTCTGTGTGCTAGCTTGCCTGAGAGCTTGCATCAAACATGTGTGTGTCTTTTTTCTTTGAATTTAATGTTTCTTTCGCCTACCAGATTTCCCACTCACGTTAAAACCCCACGCTTCGTCGAGGCACTCCTTTGTTGAGGCGGGACCCCGACATAGGACCCCCGGCAATTTACAATCTTGGTAATCCCATATAGGGTCACTATGAGTGAGAAAGACTACATGGCAGTGGGGTTTTGTTTGGTGTTCGTGGAGAGGGTCCCAAAATGGACCCTCCAGACCCGGATTGTGGGGCTCTGTTAGGCAGCATTGGTCGTGCTCGCTGAATTATCAGCGCTCAGAACAATGTTGACCGTATCTTGTTGTTAGGTGCTGTGGAATCGGTTCCGACTCATAGCGACCTTTGTATAATAGGGTGAAACATTGCCTGGTCCTAAACCATCCTTGCGTGGCAATAATTGTGAGGTTGGCCCAGGACAGGGCAGTGTTTCGTTCTGTTGTACATAGGGTCGCTCGCTATGAGTCGATACGGACTCAATCTAACAACAACAACAACAACAACAACAACAAACCATCCTTACAGTCTTGGCTACATTTGAGCCCATTGTTTCAGCCACTGCATCAGTTCATCTTTTTTGCTGACTCTGTACCAAGTATAATGTCCTTCTCTGGGGACTGGTCCCTCTTGATCATATGTCCAAATTATGTGAGACAAGAGCTTGAAAGGAGCATTCTGGTTGAATTTCTTCATAGACAAATTTGTTTGTTCTTCTGGCAGTCCATGGTAGTTTCAATATTCTTCTCCAACACCATACCTTAAATGCATCAATTCTACAGTCTACCTTATTCTTTGTCCAACTTTGACATGCATATGAAGCTATTGAAAATACCATGGTTTGGGGTCAGGTGCACTTTAAATCTCAGACTGAACTCTTTGCTCTTGAATACTTTAAAAAGTAATGCAACAGATTTACCTAGTGCAGTAAGTCGTTTGATGGCTTGACTGCTGCTTACATGAGTGCTGATAGTGGATCCAATCAAAATGAAGGCTTTGATAACTTCAATCTTTTCTCCATTTATCATGATGCTATTTATTAGTCCAGTGGTGAGGATTTTTGTTTGCTTTACATTGAGGTGCAGCCCATACTGAAGGCTGTGGTCTTGGACTCTCACCAGTAATTTAAGTTCTTTTCACTTTCAGCAAGCAAAATTGTATCATCAGCATATTGCAGGTTGTCAGTGAGTCTTCCTCCAATGTTGATGCCACATTCAGCATATAAACTTCTCAGATTATTTGCTCATCATACAGACTGAATAAGTAGGGTGAAAGAATACAACCCTGGTGCATACCTTTCCTGATTTTGAACTTGTTCTGTTTGAATGACTGCCTCAGTTCCTCATGAGGACAATTAAGTGTTCTGGAATACTCATTCTCAGAAATGTTGTCCATAGCTGGTCATGATCCACACAGTTTAAAGCCTTTGCATAGTCAATAAAGCACAGAGATCTTCTTAGTATCCTCTGCTTTTAGCCAAGATCCATATGATGTCAGCAATGATATCACTCATTCCGTGTCCTCGTCTGAATCTGGCTTGAACCTCTAGCAGTGCCTTGTTAATGTACTGTTGTAACAAGTTTTGAATTACCTTCAGCAAAATTTTACTTACATGTGATATTAATGATATTGTCCAATATCTGCAAGCTGTTGGGTCACCTCTGTGTTATTGGTTTTTTTTTTTTTTCACTTTTTATTGTGAATTGAGTGACAGTTTACAGAGCAGCGATCATCAGTGTTACATTCAACAAATCATATACTTTGCTTCATTACACGATTGCGATCCCCTTCATGTATCAATGGTTAACAGCATCTACCTCTATTTACTTTAACTATTACATTCCTCCCTGTGTCTCTCGCTACCTTCATCTTTCCTTTGCTAACCTCCCTCTTGTTGAATATTGCTTGCTCTGTCACCTGTGTTACCATGTGTCTACCCTCTAGCCCATGAATACATTTCCCTTCCCCCACTCCCCATAACCACCATAGATTATTTCTTTTATCAAGAAAATCTTCTAAAAACTTTTCACAACATTGGTCTCATGTAATATTTGTCTTTTTGTGATTAACTAATTTCATTCAGCATATTGCCCTCTAGGTTCAACCATGTTGTGAGGCTTGTCACAGATTCATCCTTACTGTTTTGTAGTATTCCTTTGTGTGTATATGGACCAGAGTTTGGTTAACCATTCTTCTGTTGATGGGCTGTCTCCATCTTTTTGGTAAGTCTCTGTGGACAGCATATTAAAGGATCCTGTTTTCTTATCCACTCTGCTCTTTGTCTCTTAACTTTATCCATTTACATTCAGTGTAATTATCAATAGGTATGAATTGATAATTGTCATTTTTTGTGGTGCTGCTGAATTCTTTGTTTCACAGAATTTTCTATGCTGAGTTCATTTTATTTGTGGGTTTTCTTTTCATTTTCATTTCTGTTGTATTAATGTTTACCATATCTTTCTGATTTTTTCTCTTTTTTGTTTTTTGGTTTTTTTGATGTGCACATATAATATTTTTCTTTGAGGTTACCTGTAATTTAATAAAAATTTCCCTGCTTAAAACAGTCTGTTTTATCTTGAAATCTACCTGACTTCCTTCCCATTTGGAGGTTCAGTATCTACACTATTTCATCTTTTTGCCTTGTAGTTTATTACATTATGCTTTGATATCACTGTTTCCCTATTTTCAGTCTTGTAGGTTTGTTTTACTCTAAATACTTCTATATCTGGATTGAGTTCTGGGTGGTATTGTCAAGTATGGTAATCTCAGGTTGTTGTCTGCTCTTGTTGATTCTCAGTCCAAACAACACCCTTTAGCATTTTTTATAAAGTTGGTCAGGTCATTATAAATTCCTTTCATTTTTGTTTATCAGTCCTAATTTCTCTGTCATATTTGAGGGACAGCTTTGCTGGGTATACGATTCTTGGTTGGCAATTTTTTTTTTCTTTCAGAATTTTGTATATGTCATCCCATAACCTTCTTGCCTGCATGGTTTCTGCTGAGAAATCAGAGCTTAATCTTACTGGCTCTGTTTTGTAGGTAACTTTTCATTTTTATCAAACTGCTCTCAGGATTCTTTCCTTATTTTGGAAAGTTTGGTTATGGTATATCTTGGTGATTTTCTTTGGGGATCTCTCCTGTTTGGAGTTCATTCAGTTTCTTGTATGTTTATCTTCTCGTCTTTCATGATGTTAGGGAAGTTTTCTTCCAACAACTCTTTGACAATTTTCTCTGTGCTTGTCTCTTCCTATTCTGAAATTCCAATCACCCATAAGTTGCTTCGCTTCATGGTACCCCCACATAATTCTTAGGCTTTCTTTAGATTTTTAAATTCTTTTTTTTTTATTGTTCTTTTAACATATTAATATTGAAAGATACTAATTTGTTAAATTGCTTTGTACCTACTCCTCTACCCTTTCAATGTATTGTCCATTTCTGAGATCTTAGTTTTAATTTTCTGGATTTATAACTGCAGGTTTTGTATTGTTTCAAAATTTGCATTTATTTTGTCTGTTTGTTCTTATGGCATTTTTCTGAATTCTTCTTGAAGTTTTTATTGTGTTTTCCTTGCTTTCCACAACCTTTCTATTGATCCTCTGAAGGTACCTAATTAACATTCTTTTGAATTCTTTTTTCAGGTACTTCCATTACCTTCTCTTCTTCAGAAATTTATTCTGGCTCTGCATCTTGGTCATTGTGAGAGCCATTCTCTCATTTCTTTGTATGAGCTACATTGTCTGTTTCCTCCAGGATTGTTGGGTTGTCATATTTATAAAAACAAACAGTGCAATTGTTGGACCCAGAGCGGTGAAATCTCTGGGGGGCTCCTGCAATTGAAGGAAAATGAGGTGGCTGTGGAAATGAGGTGGCTGTGGAAGGGAAGTGACAGCAGAGTTCATGGCCCTACATGCAGTTCTACTGGCCTTGGTATTATCTATGTTCAGGGCACTCAATCTGGAAGTAGTTTATGGGGGCCCTTGATGGAACTGGTTTCAGTGTCTGTTTATACTACAAAGCTGGGTTTATGATAATTATGCTGGTCTGGTAGCTCTGAGGGTTTTGTAGGTCTGGACATGAGCCTACCTGAATCCAGGCACCAAAGCAGCATACCAAATGATGCAGGAGATCCCCAACTCACAATGGCAGGGCTCCCAATCATATGGCTCCAAACTCCTGGAGAGCAGGGTCTCCAATGGGTTGGATGAAGGTGGAAGCTGGCTATACCTCTAGTCACCAGGAGAGTGTGGGGGAAAAGAAGAAATCACACCTTTCCCACTGCCTTCATGAATCTGCTCTGTCATACCTCCCTCCACTGTCAAAGCTACTCACAAGATGGTGGAGCCATATCTGGCCAGCTTTTCACCAGTCAGTCTCCTTTCCTTGCTGTCCCTTCTTGGCCTCTCTTACAAGGAAGCACTGCATCCACCCTTCTAACCTTTCTTCTGAAGTTCCAGGGGCAATAATTTTCATCTTTGTCTGTTTTATTTGGTCTTTCGTGTCTTTGTTGTAGAGGGTCTATGTAGTAGATCAGCCTAGTGCGACATCTTGCCAGAATGGGGTCACCTCTCTTTGGAATGGGCACAACATGGATCTCTTCCAATCAGTTAGCCAGATAGCTGTCTTCCAAATTTCTTGGCATTAATAAGTGAACGCCCCCAGTGCCACAGCAGTTTGTGGAAAGATTTAAATTTGTATTGCATTAATTCCTGGAGTCTTGTTCTTTGCCAATGCCTTCAGAGAACCTTGGACTTCTTCCTTCAGTACCATTAGCCCTTACCTTACTATTTATTTTTGGAACAGTTACTATGTCTATTGCTTCTATCTTCTTTTGATGCTTTCTGCATCATTCAATATTTTGCCCATAGAATCCTTCACTATTGCAAATTGAGGCTTGAATTTTTCCTCAGTTCTTGCAGCTTGAGAAATACTGAGCATGTTCTTCTTTTGGTTTTCTGACTCAGGCTCTTTGCACATATCATTATAATATTTGACTTTGTCTTCTCAAGCTGCCCTGTGAAATGTTCTGTTCAGTACTTTTGTCTCCTCATTTCTTCCATTTGCATCTCTACGCTGGAGAGCAAGTTTCAGAATCTTTTCTGACATCCATTTGGTTTTTTTCCTTCTTTCTTGTCTTCTTAATGATTTTTTGCTTTCTTCCTGTATGAAGTTCTTGATATCATGCATCAAATCTGTTCTTGAGATGATCTCTAAATTCCACTGGGGTATGTTCAAGGTTATATTTTGACTCTTGTGGACCTGTTTTAATTTCCCTCAACTTCAACCTGCACTCGCATATGAGCAATTGATGGTCTGTTTCACAATCTGTCCAGGGTCGCCTTTTGGCTGATGATATGGAGCTTTTCCACTGTCTCTTTCCACAGCTGTAGTCAATTTGACTTTTGTGTATTCCATCTGGTAAGATCTGGAGTCCTGGTGTAGCGCTGTGGGTTAACGCACCAGACTGCAAAGCTGTTTGAACTGCAAGGTTGGCGGTTCAAGCTCACCATCTGCTCCTCAGAAACCCTACACACGGTGGCTATGGATCAGAATGGACTTGACACACTTAACAACAGCAACAAATCTGGTAAGGTCCATGTGTATAGTCGTCTTTTATCTTGTTTAAAACGTCATTTATCTTGCAAAATTTTATCATGTGATCTCCAGCATTGTTTCTATCACCAAGGTCATATTTTCCAGCTACTGATCATTCCTCTTTGTTTCCTACATTTGCATTCCAATCGCCAATAATTATCAATACATCATAATTGCAAGTTTGACCAATTTCAGAGTGAAGAAGTAAACCACTCAGTATCACCCTTGTTCTAATCAACAAATGTCGGCTAAATATGTTCTGCGCTAGTTCACCACTAGGTGGCGCTCCTAATACACGCATGCACACTCTTAGCCCTGAAGACCGTGCTAGAGTTACGGCGTCGGGAGGCAGATGCACTTACTGCGCACTCCCTTTCCGTGGCGCACATCCACAAACACTGGCGGTCTTCTACGCACGCGCGTTCTGAGTCACGAGCCGGAAAAGGAAGGCTAATGTTTCCCGCCCTGGCCAAGGGGGCGTAACATTGCGCGCAGTTTGATGACGACACCTTGGCGCTGGCTTTCGGAATGGCGACTTTTGGCCCAGAAACGGACAGCACTGTTGGAGCCACAGGTGAGTGGTGGGAGCCATCCGCGAGACGTCCCCGCGCCTCGACGGCTTCCCGGCATCTCCGCCCCTCTGCTCCCTGAGGCTCGGGCCGGGCCCCGGCGTGTCTGTGCCGGCCGGGGCGGACTGCGGCGACCTGTCACTCGCACGGCTCTCACACTGGTCCGGGTAGGTGCTTCGCCAGTGCTGTGGGTCTCGGCCCTATCCGACCCTGCCCTTCCCGTCTGGCTCGACTGCTCTCGGAAGCCCACTTCGCAGGACAGTTGTGAGCAACAAAGTAGGGGGGGCAGGGAGTGACCGCAGAAGCACCCCCCCGCCCCCCAGCGAGATGTGGATCAGCAGAAAGAGGGGCGGGAAAAAGCGAATGCCTGGGGCACAGCAGGGAAGGGGTGTCCCCCGGGGAAGCGTGACTGTAGTGTGCTGGGAGAACATGGAGGATAAGAGACACAGTCTCCAGGAAAGACCTCTTTTTTTGGCTTCGTTGGTACGCTTTGGGCCGTTAATCCAAAGGTCGGTGGTTTGAACCCATAAGCTGCTCCGCGGAAGAAAGATGAGGCTGCCAAGACGAGACTGCCTGTTCCTGTAGAGATTGTTGTTAAGTACCGGCTAGTTGGCTCCTACTCAGCGACCCAAGAAGCAGCTGGTGGGTTTGAACCGCAGACCTCGGGGTTAGCAGCCCAGTGCTTATTTTATGGCGCCACACCAGTATTCCTCCAGTAAAGATTACAGTTTCAGACACCCTAGGGAGCATTTCTACTCTGCCCTGTTGGATTGTTGTGAGTTGGAATCAACTCAGCGGCACTGGCTAAGGAACTCTGCTAGTACCGTGGGTTAAGTGGTAAGCATTGGGTTGCTAACTGAAAGGTTCAAACCCAGCAGCCACTCTGCTCTATGGAAGAAAGGTGAGACAATATGTTTTTTGAAATTTTTTACTATTTTTTTTTATAAAGCCAAAGAAAAGAAAGTACCACATGAGTGCTATCCACATCACCTTTCAGCAGTTACTCCCAGACAGATTGGATACTACTCAGTGGAGGTTCTGCCTTCCTCCACGCCCTCTGGATCTAGGCTCCCTCTTGAAAGCTTGTAAGCCAATCACTTCTTGCCTTTGTAGCCCCCCCCATTTTGCGTAGCCAATGTTCAAGTTGCCCATCCCTGTCTACCCTGTGTATTGAGGGGGTGGGAATGATCCTCGCTGTAAAGATTTGGTCCCTCTTTTGAGCTACTGCATCCATAGGTGTAGGTCAAGTTCATCAAATTGTATCAGATTACTCTTGTTACTCTTTCTTCTGGTTGAGCTCTGATTATCAGTCATTGAAGCCAGGTCAAGTGGGTATTATCTGCAAGTGTGGGTATTCTTGTGCATATGCCCTCTCTTCTTATCAGCTGGATGCTTCACTCTCCACTCTAGACCTCTGTGGCTATGTCACTGACTCTGGGCCCAGGGCGCCCAGGGCTTGCCAAACTACTGGCCAACCAGGTCTCCACCTGGGTTTATAGGAATGTATTGAATGTGGTTGGACTTAGCTCCCAGCTTCATTGCTGTTTTCCCCTCACTTCCGCTTATCGGTGAGCAACATGGTCACCAGTCAGGAGACAATCTGGTTTAAAAAGATTTACAGCCTGAGAAACCTAGGGAGCAGTTCTATGTTCTACAGGGTTACTGTGAGTCAGAACCAGCTCCACAGCAGTGGGTTTGGAGTGAGTAAGGAGTTGCTATCACTTCATCATTGTGAAGGCTACACCCTTTTCAAGCAGGCCCGGGGTTTATTCCTCTGTGATCATTTTGGAATTGTAAACTTAACCAAATTTGTAGGACTGAGGTGTTTTATTTGTAATTCTTACTTAGAACTGACATTGCTACCTAGTTGAAGAAACAGAAATAAAAATGCTTGGGAGGTATTCATGTTGTGCACTCCTCCACTTCCTCCTGGCACCCAGCCTGCTGGCCTCCACAGATGCTGCCATCTGTAAATCTCAGCACCATGGGTAGAGCTGCATCACAAAAGCCATTGCTAGCCCTTCAAGGGCCCCTTGGGTAGACTTCCCCTCTGTCTTGAGTGGGTGAGATTTTCTGATGACCCCATTCAAAGAATCCGATGGTAGAACTTGTCCTTTTTCCCTCCTCTTGTTCATTTCCATAAAGCTCAAATAACACAGAAAGTGTTTACTTCCTCTCTGAGGTGTGGAGGAGGTCTTTGTATTTGAATCTTGGTTCAGCCATTCACTAGCTTGGTGTAAGGGTAAGTGACTTAACCCTTTAGCCCTTCTGTGGTATCATCTCTACTAAATTCAGAAATTTGGTTGTGAGTCTACCATTTTTCTATGACTTCATGACAGATTTTGCAGCTTAAAACTGCACCCATTATTTCACAGTTATGTGTTAAGGTGTGCTACTAGCACAGTGGGTTAAGCACTGGTGTGGTAACCGCAAGCCTGACGGTTTGAACCCACCAGCTGCTCCTAGGGAGAAAGGTGAGGCTGTCTGCTCTTGTAAAGAGTTACCATCTCAGAAACCTTAGGGAGCAGTTTGACTCGCCAACAGAGGCACGGTGAATTGGAGGTGACTAAGTGTCTGTGGATTTGAGCTATATAGGTAGAACTGAAGTTGGGTGCTCAGCTGTCTACTCTCCTTAGGATCTTACAAGGCTTTGCTTTTATCTGGAAGCTCCAGGGAAGAATATGCTTCTATGCTTGCTCAGATTGCTGGCAGGATTCAGTTACTTGCCCTTGTATAACTACAGCCTCCATTTCCTTGCTGGCTATCAGCTAGGGACTGCTCTCTGCCCCCCAAACTACCTATATTTCTTCTCAAGTGACCTCCTCTATCAGCATAGTAGGCTCATCAAGACCTTTTCATGCTTCCAGTGTTCTAACTTCTGCTCTGCTCCCAGATGCACTGAACTACCAGCCTTCCAGTTAGCAGCTTAATCCTTAACCTACTGTACCATCAAGACTCCTTTGAGCATTGTGACAGTACATAATAATTCTGTTGTGTGGCAGGTATTGAAAGGTCTCATCTTTGTCTTTCCACAGTGATTTCCTAAGACAGCCATATTAGACACTCTACGGGAGCCTGCCATGGCATTTCCCCACTTCCAACAGCCCAGTTTCCTACTGGTAAGTATCCATGTCCATGTGACTTAGTCTCAGTGTTTCTATAGCAGAGGAACTCAAGAGTTCATCTTGAAGAACTCTCCAGAAGCCGTTTCCCTATTTCCAGAAGGGCTTGTGATAGAAGTAACACTGGATTTCATTAATAGTCGAGATCTTTCAGCTTGATTTGTCTCCTGTTAGTGTGGGATCTTCTCAAACTCTTGAGTTCTGGCATTTTCATCTGCACTATATGAGTTGATTTACTTTTAAAACTTGTCATTTGGATGAATGTTTGTAGAGTAGATTGGTTTTTCTTTTGCCTTAAAAAAAAAAACAAACAACAACTTATTGTGACTCGAGTGAATGTTTGCAGAACAGATATTAACTGTACATTCAACAAATTGTATATACAAACTCCATGTATCAGTTAACAATATTTATCTCTATTCACTTTAACTCTTTCATTCCTCCCTTTGTCTCCCATTATCTTCATCTTTCCTCTGCCAGGCTCTCTCTTGTTGCATATTTTTAACCATGTTACCCATGTCTAGCCAGTGAATAACACCCCTATCTGCACACTTGGTGTAACCATTATAGAATGATTTTATCAAGAAAGTCTTTTCTTAACTTTTTATATCAGTGGTCTCATTCAGTATTTGTCCTTTTGTGAATGACAAATTCCACTCATATATGAGACTCATTCATGCTGTGAGGTGTTTTGCAGATTCATTGTTATTCTTCAGCATCTTTTGTACGTATACTGTTGTGTATGTATAGAAGTTTGTTTAACCATTCTTCTGTTAATGAGCAGTTAGGCTGTCTCCACTTTTTGATGTGTCTCTTGTAGACAGCATATTGAAAGATCCTGTTTTCTTATCCATTCTACTACTCAGTCTCTTGACTAGTACATTTTATCCATTTATATTTGGTATAATTATTATTGATAGGTAAGAACTGATTGCTGTCATTTTGCTGTGTGTTTTTTTGTGGTGCTACTGGTTTCTTGGTTCCACATAATTTTCTGTGCTGAGTTCATTTTGTTTGTGGGTTTTCTTTTAATTTTTATTTCTGTTGTGTTAATGTTTACTAACTCTTTTTGATTTTCCTTTTTTTTAATTTTGATGTGATGGTGTTTTAGTTTTCTTTGAGGTTAGCTGTAATTTATTAATTTTTGTCCCTGTTTGAGACAGTGTGTTTTATCTTGAAACCCTCTTTGATTTCCTCGCATTTTCAAGTTCTGTAACTACACGATTTCATTTTTTGCTTTGTCGCTAACTTCATTGTACATTGGTGTCTCTGATTCCCTGTTTTCAGTCTTGTAGGTTTGTTTTACTTTAAATGTTACTTCTGGATTGATTTCTGGGTGGTGTTGTCATGTATGTATGTTTGTTGTGTGTTGTTGGTTCTCAGTCCAAAGAACACCCTTTTGTCTTTTTTGTAAAATTGGTGTTGTCATTACAAATTGTTTTAATTTCTTTTTACCTGGAGATGTCCTGATTTCATCTTGTATTTGAAGGACATCTTCGTTGGGTATATGATTCTTGGTTGGCAATCTTTTTCTTTCAGATTTGGTTTTTTTTGTGTGTGTGTCTGTGTCTATAGCGATCTTTATTGTTAAAATGCCGTCTAGTCAGTAGCTATTGATAGTGACTCCACGCAAAACAGAACGAAACACTGCCCAGTCCCATACCGTCCTAACACTCGTTACATTTGAGCCCACTGATGCTGTCACGGTGTCGATCCATCTTGTTGGTGGGGGTCTTACTTTGTTTCACTGACCCTCTACCCCTCTACTTTACCAAGCATGATGCCTTTCTCCAGGGACTGGTCCCTCCTAACAACATGTCCAAAGTGTAAGAGATGAAGTTTCACTATCCTAACTTCTAAAAAGCACTCTGTATTTGTATTTCTTCCAACACACACGTTTGTTCTTCTGGCAGTCCATTAGTACTTTCAATACTCTTCTCCAAGAAATCTATATTAAATATCTTTTTTTTTTCTTAAATGTTTAATTGTGAATTATGTGATAGTTTACATGGGAGAACATTAGTTTTACATTCATTCTATCGTATATCATATCATTGCCATGGTTACAGTCCCCTCCATGCAATCCTTCACCCGTACCCCCCAGATCTTCAGCACACAGTCGCTCTCCCTCTCTGGATCTAAAGTCTCCAGCTGCTC